TTGGACAAGTGGAGGCGGAGGACTGAACGTTTGTTCCAGTCTGTAGTTTACATTTACATAGACACACTGATGGAAATTGGTGGGAAAGCCAAGCGAGCCTGAGTCACAAGAGTTCATTTTCAAATTTCCTTGAATTAATTCTTGTGAAGAAGACGGTCCCCAGCAAGGTCTAAATCTGTTCACAGTCAACGGTGCTGGAAGGGCTGATCTCAAGTGTTGAGAAGAACTGGCTGTCCGGGACGCCCTCGGTGGGTAAATACAACAGGGTTGACAGGCCTCATTTTCAAAATTAAAGAAAGAAGAAATCCCCAAGTCTCCGTATGTGGTGATCTTGGGGGAAACGGAGGCGAAGCACAGCTGCACTTCCAGACAATGGTGACTCTGGTGGCTTTAATTAGCTTGGTAAAGGTTAATAGCTTGCATCCCAAAGCATCTCCTGAAATGTCCTTCTCGTCCCACATCTACAAGACCTTTTTGCAAAGATTATTCAAATTATAGTTTAGTAATATTGTCTGATTAATTGTGGGGAGGGTGTCGCGTTGGAGCTTCTTTTGATTCTGTCGGGAGACATCCGCTCACATCTCCCTACCTTTGCTCGCACCATCTGTTGACTCGTGGGGACGCCTTCCCGTGTTCCTGCTCCTGCGAGGGGCCCCACAGACGTTCTGGGCTGGTCCCAGTGCCCCTCTTCCATGAGGCTCTCTGGTGGTGCCGCACACCGTCAGAAAGGATGGACGGACGGTCAGACGGACACACTCTCACCCATCTCTCCCTCTGGCCTCTGTGAGTACCTCCTCGGAACCCCAGGGGGAGGGGCTGTCTCACTCTTCAGTCCTCCCTGATCTCGGCACAACAGCCCTTTCAAGCTTCTTTCTTTTTTATTAAATGACCGAGGACGAGACTTGCAGCTGCCCTGCTGTCCAGAGCAGGAGGGCGGGGCCGGTGCACAGAAATGTGCAGCCAGTCTGTGTCTGCCATAGCAAACCCTGGTCAAAAGAGAACAGAGAGCTGGTGCGGCCGGCCTTGCTCCCGGCGAGTGCGTGCCAGGACGGGTGGAGACTGAAAACTCACGCCACTTGTCCGGTGGTGGACACGCTGTGCAGACAGATTCCAACGTGCGGACACATGCCCCTCAGGGTCCAAGCCGACCCACGACCGCAAGGATGTGCTCGCTCTAATTCATCTACTAAGAACGTCCCTAGAAAGAATTCAGGGTCTGAAAATGGTTCTTTTAAGTCACAGAGACCACAGGTGAGTTCCTAGCAACGAGCTCACGGCGTGCCTGCAGTTAGGTCTTCCTTACACACGAGTGTGTTATTCCACACTCACCTCCACAAGGGACCCCTTCCGACGACCCTGCGGCTCAGACACGGTCGGTCCAGTGGGTGCTTCGCACACCCGGCCTGTCCAGAGGACGGGGTCAAACATGGAGTACAGCTCGTCTGCTGCCTTGGGGACCCACCTGGTTAACGGAACAACTCAGGCCAGGGCCAGACTGCAGGCCGTTCATCCATGGCTATGCAGCGTGACTCAGACACGCCTGCTGGGTCACGGCCTCCGCTGAGCCCACGGGTCTGCCAGGTTGTCCTCAGTGAGTGGGAATGTCCCCACCCGTTGGCAGAATGGCCGTGGTGGCCCAGGACTCAGGCCCGCTTCACGGTCCAGCCGCGAAGGACGCGTGCCGGGCACAGGCGGGTGCCCTGGACCCGCTCCCGTCCACAGCTGCATCCGCTCCAGCTGCCCAGTGCCACGGCCCGCCTCCTGCTGAGCACTTTCAATACCGTTCCTGTTGGTCGCCCTGTCTGAAACACAACGATGCAGTAACAAGCAAGGAAACTCCTATCCTCTCCAGTTCTGTGACCAGGCCTGAGAGTTAAGCTGACCTAAGGCAGCTTAGCAGAAGAGCCTAAGCACTTACTTAATCTTTTCACGTGTACACAGAGTCCTCAGGAGGAAAACGACCCAAAGAAGCCACAGGCCCTTTTACACACGGTCAGGGAGCCTGTCCTGCACCTGCCGACTCCACTCGAAGTGACCAAGGTGCCAAACGGGGCGTCTGGGGGCGGTTCTGTGCCCCTGCACAGGGTGGGCAGACGGCTCACTGGCTCCCAGCACTGTCTCTGTCAGACGCTGTAGGGACGAGGGGGCCTGGGCCAAGGGGCCAGAAATCAGTCCACACCCAGCACCTCCAGGACGAGGCAGCCATTTAGCCTCTCGACAGTCTCACACTCAAGTCGGGGAGGGGAGGCCACAGCCTCTGGGGCACTTGGCAATGGGGAGGGGGGACAGCAGTGTCCTGATAACTGGGGGCTCTGCGTTTAAGGGCAGGGCCAGCCTTGGCCTCCCTCCTCCCACGGCTGCTGCCAGCTCCCAGGGTCCCTCCACCCGGGATCCCGCACTTCTGGAAACGGCTTCCCTTACAGCCTGTTTACGTCTCGGGGCCCCGACAGGACAGCGTGGGCACTTGGCCTGCAGCTCTGCACTGGTAGGAGAGTCACTCCTTCACTGTCGGGGGAAGCACTGCCGGGCCATGTGACGCCAGGCCATGTGACACCGGCCCTGCCCACTGTCCACTGCCCCCAGAACCCTGGCACTCGGTCCTCGCCACACACGACCCTGCAGAGACACACATGCTCCCCGTCAACCCCTCCTCTCCCATCTCCCTCTCACCGCAGTTAAGGTGCGTACTGAGTCCTGAAAACTCTAAGTCAAGGTGGCTCCAGGGCGTGTTAAGATGCATGGCGCAGAAAAGGGACAGGGGCTCAGGCCCAAGAAACAGGGCCCTAATCGTGTTCCAGGCAGAGCTGGCCCCGGCCAGCAGGATGCACCCGTTCACTGTCCCTCCGGCATGTTCTGATCCGCAGACTCCTCCCGACAATGACAGTCACACACCTCCTGGCCCTGCAGTCACAGCCTCACACGCAAGTCTCTAGGGTTAAAGGGCGGAGGGCACAACGTGCCAACGCCTGAGCTCTCCGGCAGAGCAGAGGGTCCCCATCAAAGGCACCTCCGCACTGTCTGAGATGCGGCCCCTTTTACAGACCGGAAAGAAAGGGGTGGCGTTTCTGCCGGTTCCTGCGCCGTGAGATTCTGACCTGGTGCTTGGCTCCCATTTTTAACTTCCCCACTGCCTCTAAGACGTAGTTCTTCCTAGAGGCTCACAGAGAAAGGGTTATCATTTAATTAAACAGGAGCCACTATAATTCTTCCTTCAAATGCCTGGCATTAGCCATTCCAAAATGATAGCTGTTATCAAAAATTATCATAAGTCATTCACTTTTTAGCGGATGCTTAATAAAGACTCCTAACTGTTAGGAGACTTAACCAGGAGAAGTGTGTGTTCATGCGAATCTGTTTTATAGCATTACAAGCTAGAATGACTTTGAGCAAAATCGATAGGGCGGTTCAAAAGCTGTAATTAGAAGCAGAGAAAATTAGAATTTTTCTCGCTACCTGCAGCAACCTTATGTACTCAGAGTAATCCTCTACTGATAAACAAAAAACTGTCTTACCAAGAGTGATGGGGGGAGGGTACAGCTCAAGTGGTAGAGCGCATGATTAGCATGCCCGAGGCCCTGGGTTCAATCCCCAGTACCGCCTCTAAAATAAACAAACAAACAAACAACAAACCTGATTACCTCCCTCCCCCTAAAATAAATAAATAAATAAATAAAGCAAGCGCGCCAGGTATAGCACTGGAAAAATATTCACAGCTCACTGAGACTAAAATTGATGGACGAGGGCGTGCCTGGCAGTGCAGCCGTTAACAGCCATTCAGCTGATGACTCCTGGGCACGTGCTGGGGCACTGACCGCACGGGGCTCCAAGAGGTGACCAGCTGCGCGGCGCCTAAGCCTGGAGGGGCAGACAGCATCCACCGTCCGATAAGGAAGCCTGACCAGAAGTCGCAGAGTAGTTCCGCATCAGCCTAGGTGTCGAGTGGGCTGTGTTTCATCCTCGTCAAATCCCCACGGGTACTTATCACCAGGTTTTCAGGTGAGAAAACAGGCCGGGCGTCGGAGAGGCCGCTCATAGTGCTGGGACTCACGCCCGGTCTTTGGGGATGTCGAGATGGGTCCTCTCTGTCCTGGGAGTCGGCTCCAGTCCTGGGGGTGCATCTCCTGGAAGACAGGCAAGCCCCCCTCCTGGCAGAGAGGCCCTGGGGAGGGCGTCCCACCGGCCCCTCGCCCGGAGGCCTGGCAAACAGGTGGCTGACCATCAGGACTTAGAGCAGCCTTGACGGGCTGGAGTCTACCCAGAAGACATTCCCAGGGTCAGCGAGAAGCTCTGGGGAAAGCAAGTTCACCAACCGGGAAGGGAGGTGAGAACTGACCGCCCAGGGAGGGGGTGCAGGCGGCGGGGACATGAGGGGCAGTGGGGCCTGGAGACAGAGGCTTGCCACACGTTCTCTCACAGGGGGACTTCTGACCCCCAGGACTGGTGTCCCCACAGGAAGAGGAAGGGACACCAGGCTCACTCTCCCACAGTGAGGACACAGCCAGGAGGGGCCTCCCAGCACCTGACCTTGGACTCACAGGCTCCCGAGCGGGAGAAAGTGAATCCTGTGGTTTAAGGCCCTGGCCTTTGGTGTTCCGTTTGGCACCCGAGCCCAGTAATACAGTTAACAAGTAACGCGCCCACTCAACAGACACTTGTGACTGTTTCATCAGCAGATGGACGTCCACATACACCTGTAAGGGGACCAGCCGTCCTCCGTGACAGGTGCTCAGGAAAGCGGTCTCAGAAGCAGTGCAGCACTGGTCGTTCATCCGCAGAACATGGGGGCAGCTGTGATCTTACTTGATAAAGCAGGAGGAAGAGGCTGGAAATGCGGAAAGGAACCTTTAAAATGCTTATTTGCGATGAAAAGATCCCAAGCCCTGGAAGTAGAATCCAAGGAGACAGTGGAGTTCCCTTCAGTACAATTTAGAAGCAGATCTAGGATCCCAGCTATGGGGTGGTTTAAAAATCACCAAACGAGGGAGTGAAATGATTTTAACCAAAGAAGGTATCAGTTTACTCGTGCATTCTAAAACCTCGGTGGTCCAGCCTTGTCCAGGTTCAGTGATTTTAGCAAAATACATTGCTTGGGAGCCGCATCTCCTGGTTTATTAGGTTTTCTTTTCAATGGGGAGATTCAGTACAAAACTGATATTTCAATGAAGTTGAATTAGACACTGCAAATCAATGTGGGTTATTCTGAGCTTACATTCATGCTTTTGAGACAGGAAGGGGGCAGGGCACTCGAGGAATGCTACAGCAATTAGCATCAAAGTGATGGAAGATTCAACCCCCACGAGGCCCTGAGGCTCAAGGTGATGAGAGATTTAACTTCTAGCAGATCCTGAGCTTCATTATACGCTCATTGTAATTAACATTGTATTAACACGGTGAAGAACATACGCACAGGCACCATGGCAGTCCCGAGGCTGGCCACAAAAGGTCAAAGAGTGGGAAATGACCAACCTCCTGGGATCCCCAGCCCCTTCCCCAGGCTAGTTAGGCTGGTCCTTTCACTTATTAGCATATGAAGCCACCGAGCCCATAAAAACTGGCAACACAGCACCTCCCTGCTGCCTCTCTCTCCCTCTCTTCAGAGTTGCCCGCACTCTATGGAGTGTGTGCCTACTTTTATTCTAGTCTGAGCACCCAGCCCCCAAACCTCGTGGCCTTTCTCTTCCCTTACATGTATCTCTCTAAATAAATCTACCTTTACTCAACTGTGGCTCGTTCTTGAATTCTTTCCTGCACGAAGCCAAGGACCCACACTTGGCTGGGCCCGTCTCAGGGGCTGAACCGAAGCCTGGGACACGGCCCTCCTCACGCCCCACATCCGTTTTTCTTGCATCACTTTGGTTCAATTCAAACTGCCTGTCCAGGTGCAGGGAGAAAAATGACATTTTCTTTATTTTTTTATGTACTGTGAAGGAAAAACTGGGCTGGTCTAACAAGATAACTCACAAGTCTAAGTATTAGAATACTGATCTGAGTTCTGCTGGACTAACTTGTAAATCTAAGTTTATCAGTGTTGGTCTGCTGTTCGTGTTTT